CCTTTGTCCCTGGAGTAGAGTTTCTCCAGCTTTAAGGTGCATAAGGATCATTTGAAGATCTCACTAAGGTGCAGATTAGGATTCTGTAGGTCTGTGGCACAGCCTGAGATTGTGCTTGATTTACAAGCTTCCAAGATGATGCCTGGGTTGCTGTCTGAGAGCCACATTTAGAATAGAAGGCCTTAGAACTGGTTCATGACATACATAACTAGCATGTTGTAATCTCATGGGGGAATTTTTAAGGTAAGAATGAATGCAGATCTCCACCTAGAAATTAAATCAGAAAGCTCCTAAGGAGATTCTGATATGCAAACAGGTTGGAAACCTTAACAAAATGGGATTCCTTTTACCATAATGAATCAATAATAAACTTTTCACCTGCAACTACCTCACTTCCAGCCCAAAACTGAGCTCATCAGCTGGAGCCCCCAAATTATGGTCAGGATTTCCTGCAGTAACCAGAGATAAACCAGCATGTCTAATTACTCCATCTTGGAATTATTCTCGTCTCTGAGTCAGTCCTGTAGTCCTTGCTGGGAATTCAACTGAAGTAGAAAAGTAACCTGGGATGATGATAATAGCTGAAATCTATTGAGCAATTACTCTGTACCATCATACACTGTTCAAAATATTTTACTTACATTGTCTTATTTTACCCTGCCAGGCAGCTACTATTTTTTTTCTCAATATTATGGACAAAAAGATGTGCAGAGAAGTAAAATGACTTGTTCAAAATCGCACAGTTAGTAAGTGGACCTACCTGTGATTTGATATTAAGCAGGCAGAGCCCAGGGTCCCTGGGAAGCCGACGGTCACTAGTTCCTTCCTCCATTCTATGCTTGTGTTTCTGGCACACATTCTGCTTCGAAGCCTAAGACTTCTTTTCTTTGGTGTGGAGTTGGTCGCCACTCAAATCTTCAAGCCCCTTTAATTAGGCTCCTAATACTTATTCAAGCCTAGCAAATGTGTTTTGTACCCTAAGGACTCAGTCTGGTCCTGCCTTCTAGGGTTCTGTTAACGTTGGATGCTCTGAGCTGTCTTTGTTGCCTGAGTTAAAAGTAAAAGATTCTCTCCATGTGAATTTTTAATACCCTTCTTGTTCTTCTCTGAAAGCTCTGGCCCCCGTGGATCTGAGCTTTTTTTCGGTCCCTATTTCCGCTTTGGAGATAGATGCAATGGAGCCTTGATGTTAGATAGAGATTTAGCAGAATATTTAACCAGCTAACCGTGTATTTAACCTCCGTTGCCCTTCTCTTTTGTTTTTTTAGTACAGACTGAGTTTCAGTGAAGCTTCTGGTGATTTTGTCTTAAATGTTCTCTGTTAACATAGTGCCTTTTGAAAGCTGAATGTCAGGAAAACCCATTTTTAATTTATCAACGGTGCCCTTAGTCTTAATATGCTTAAGCATACTTTACTTTTGAGGGCAGAATTAATCTTTTATCAGACATACCATGGATGCTGTTGGCTTCATTATTTCAGAAAAATGTTCTTGTGACTGTTTAGAATTAATGCTACTCACACACCTCTACTTTGCAACATCTGTTCACCATAAATGAAGAAGATACAAAGTAAGAGTCACCCATACCAAAGCGAACGCTAAAGAGATGTAAGTCACTGCTGGCTGCAAAGCAGAGGTGCTTACCTTGTTGATTTCATCCGATGGTGAGGAACCTGAATCTGAAATTAAACATGTGATGAAGACTATATGGGCCTTCTTTTTTTATAGGATACATCTTTGTGAATCTATGAAGAAAATGTTAACGCAATTATAGGAAGATAATTTTATACATGGAAATTTTTTTGGAGGTTCAGAGACAAAAAAGGAATTAAATTCTGCCTTTCATCTAGCAAGGGGCTAGTTAGAAATACCAAATGCTATCAGTTTAACTTTTTTTTTTGCAACAGTGGGGTCTCAAGCTTTCACATGGCTAACATATTCCTCGCGAACGTGTTAAAAATACAGATCGTTGGTCCTCACCCCACTTGGCTCTGAGTTTTTAATAAACTCTTTAAAGAATTGTGATACACATTTCATTAATCAGGGTTCTGCAGAGAAACAGAATCATCAGGCGATTATCCATCTACCTATCAGTCCATCAATCAAGGACCTTTTTAAAGGGAATTTGCTTACATGATGACAAAGACGGAGAAATCCAAATATCTGCAGTCAGCAGTCTGCAGGCAAAGGAAGGCCAATTTATACTTCTAATCCAAGACAAGCAGGAAAGCAGAGGTGTAAATTCCTGTCCAAGGCTGGGTCAAGAGGCAGAAGACTGATATCCTAGCTGGAAGGCCGCCAGAAGTGGAAAAATGAAATTCTCCCTTACTCTGACTTTTGTCCTCTCTGGTTCCTTAATGTATCAGATGAGGCTCGTCCTCACTGGGAAGGACAGTTTCTTTACTTAACCTACTGATTCCATTGTTCATCTCGTCCAGAAATAGTTGGAATGATTACTCATTATCTGGGAACCGTGCAGTATAAAGTGAGGCTTATACATAAAAATTACCAGTGACACACCTGGGACTGCTGCAGCAGCATAGTGGCTGAAATCCTCTCTTTGTATGTGCCGGGATTCCAAATGGACACAGGTTCTAATTCCAGCAGCCTCACTTCCCATCCAGCTCCCTGTTTGTGGCCTGGGAAAGCAATTAAGGATGGCCCAAAGCCTTGGGATCCTGCACCCACTTGGGAGACCCAGAAGAGGTTCCTGGCTCTGGTTTTGTATCAGCTGAACTCTGGCTGATACAATGACAGACCTAAGTTAAAAGCACGAATATAAAACTATTGCTTCCCCTTGTTTTTTTTTTTTTTTAACATTTATTTGTTTTTATTGCAAAGTCAAATATACAGAGAGAAAGATCCTTGGTCTGTTGATTCATTCCTCAAGTAGCCTCAATGGCGGTAGCTGTGGTGATCTGAATCCAGGAGCCCAGAGCCTCATCCGGGCCTCCCACAGGGGTGCAGGGTCCCAAGGCCCTCGGCCATCCTCGACTGCTTTCGCAGGCTGCAAGCAGGAAGCTGGATGGGAAGTGGGGCCACTGGGACTAGAACCAGCGCCCATATGGGATCCCTGTGCATGCAAGGCAAAGACTTCAGCTGCTAGGCCATCGCCAGGACCCCGTGGTTTTCCCCGCTGTTTGTTTTTAAAGATCTTATTTTCCACATTGGATGAAAGAAAAATAATATCACTGATACAGTGCATTTAAAAAGTAATCTATTAAGATAAGGGAGTACATCTTTGATCTAAAAATGTGTAGAAGGACTGAGAAGCATAAAACACAACAGAGTACTTGAAGTATAACAACGAAAAAGAAATCATTGATTTAGTTAAAGATTCAGTTTTTTCCTCCTATGTTCCCCAATGTAGTGGATCTTGATGGTGTGGCACTTTCAAGTAAGATGATCAGCTGTCCTGGTTTCCCTGGATTGGCAGATTTCTTGGATTGTGGAGCATTTGGTACTAAGATTGACACTATCCACAGCAAACCAGTGGAGTTGGATACTGTAATGAAGGGGTTCAAGATGATTGTTTTGAAGAGGGAAGAGAATAAATTAATTAATGAATAAGTAGGTAATATAATCACATAGTGTTACATGCCAGGAGGAAAATCAAAGTGGAGTAAGAGGCAATGAGTAGATAGTGTTTGGTGTTATTTAAGCTAGAGTGGTTAGCAGGAATCTCAAGAAGTGATGGTGAAGCAGAGACAAGATGAAGTGAGGAAGTGAGTCATGTGGCTATTGAGGGATGATATATTTGAGACAGAGGGAAGACAATCATAAAGATTCTGAGAAAAAGAGATGTTGCATATTGGAGGAAGACTCACAGCACTTTGGCTGAAATGAGACTGGTAGAGGTTTAAGGAGGGTCTACTTAGGATCAAACTTTAAGAGCCTGATTTCCGTGAGATCAAGAGAGAGTGGAGAATGTTTATATTGGCGTCGTAGGTCTGCATGACATAGTGCTGCAGTTAGGTGGTTTAAACAACAGGCATCTACTGTCTCATGTTTCTGGTGGTTGGGAATTCAGATTGAGATTACCATGTGGGCTGGGTTCCTCTGCTGGTGATTGGACGGGATCTGTCCCAAGCTCTCTCTAGTGTCTGATCATGTTTTGGCTATCTTTGGCATTTGTTGGGTTGTGGCACTGTGGCTGCCATCTGTACATGGCAATCTCTCTGTATGCATCTGTGTTCCCACTTTGCCTAAGATATCTGTTGTGTTGGATTCAGAGTCCACCCGGGTCTAATGTAACTTTATGCTAACTCAGTTATTTATATTGTCAAAAAATAGTCCCAAAAAGGATAACATTCTGAGATAGTGAGGCTTAGGACTTCAAAATTTTGTGGGAGCCACAATTCTACCTATAGTGTTGTGCCATATCTACACAATGAAATATTATTTCAGAAGAAAAAGTAGTGAAATGCTGAAATATTCTGTGACATGGATAAACCTTGAAAACACCGTGTGAAACAAGGCAGTCACAAAAGATCACAGCTTATATGGTATCATTTTTATAAAGGGTCTAGAATAACCAAATATGCAAATAGTTCCCAGGGATTCAATGCAGCAGTATATGGGAGTGGAGATCTAATGGATATGGGATTTCTTTCTTGGGGTGGTGAACAGATTATGGGATTAGGTATTGGTGGTGGTATAAAACATTACAAAATTACTAAAAATCATGGAACCTTTTATAGCATTGAAAGAATGGGTTTATGCATATGGATTAAATATGAATATAACTTTAGGTGTAATTTACGGTATAAGAGAAGTGGAGATCGTCAGTGTCAACATTGTTTTGAGGTATTATGGAGACGGAAAACAAATTGGGTGATTACAGGGGATATGGGACAAGGGAAGAATTTTTTTTAAATGTAGGAGATGTCACAACATGGTTTTGTGCCAATTCAGATATAAGGTGGGATCGAGGGAATTTGGACCAAACCCTTGAGGTCGTTGTGACATCAGCTTGAGTGTGTTTCTCCCTTCCTTTCCCAGGTGACAGATCAGTCTGTGAAAGCATTTGCAGAACACTGTCCTGAGCTCCAGTATGTTGGCTTCATGGGTTGTTCGGTCACGTCTAAAGGCGTCATTCACCTCACCAAGGTAGGAATCCTGCTGTGTAATTCGTTTGTCCAAGCATACCGTTCAAGTGATGGGCCCTAGCCTTGCTGAATAAACTGGTATGAGGAATAGACAGACTGTTATGAAAGCATACAAGTGTTCGATGAAGTTAACCTCAGTTTAAGGATACAGTATAAAATTATCCTTTCTCAATTGAGACATTCATTTAAACAGGAAGCTAACTTTTTCTTTTGCATTGTTAGTGACTGTGAAATATTTGCGTTAAAGAAACTGATATGTGTGACAGGAATCATTTACATATTATTATATTGTGATTTTTAAATACTCCGAGTGAATCTTAACTACCCTTATATCGATAGTTCCTATGAGCATTTGTCTGTAAAAAGTGAATGTGGTCAATCCATATCTTTAAGCTAAATATGTAAGGTGTAAAGAGGGGTGACTTTATGTGGAAATTCTACCTGGTAACTCTGAGAGTTCGTTTTTATACCAAATATGCAAAATCATATTTTAGCAATGATGAAACTACCATTCCTGTATTGTCTTTTAGTTATGTGTCACCCTTACAGCACTGCAGAGCTAATCTTACACTAGAGTAATGGAGGAAACTGATTAATGTAACACATACCAGTGTATTATCTGAAATTTATTGCTGAATAGGTTTTGACTATGATACAGATGTTAGGACAATGGTTTGTTGAGTCTTGCCTTTCATTCTTTCATTCTTGCCTTTTCTTTCAACCTTCCCTGTTTCACAATTATTAGAAAACTACTCTGTAGGGTCTTTATGGGCTGAATCTCTTCAGGTGTTTCCCAGCTTATAGTTTGGTAGAGGGTGATGTTTTTTGGTTCCTCCATAGGAAACAAGCACACAGTTACAAGTTCCTTGGGATTGTGGTTGACAGGCAGAATGGATACAAGGCAGCCTCTCCCGTCAGTGTCAATGTGATTCTTAGCTCTGTCACTAAGAAGGGTACTACAAAAATTAACGGAAAATAGAAGTAAAGGATAAAGTCCATTGTGGTGTTAATTTTTAAGAATGTGTATTTTAAAAAGCAAAGGTTAGATAATACCTTCATATTTGATAAATAGATAAATTGCATTTTTTAGGGTATTAGTAGAAGTGCTTGAGATGATATTAAGAATTCAAGTGCTATCTCAATTTATGTTGAAATAAGTGCTACAGTATATAAATTATTTTTTTAAAAAATCAATGTAAATTTTAAAGAAATTATATCACTTTTCTAGTCTGATGTATCTGAAAAAGAAGCTATGTCTATACTGTGTCTTATGTGACTGATAAGCTTCAATTGCATTTTGAAAATCAGAACTGAAAGCTAGAGAAGAGGATAAGGCCATCATTTTTTGATTATTGTTCTGGTGTAACCCAGACCATATGTAACATAATTTTTTATTCATTTCTCATAACCTTGGCCTGCTCATTTGGTAGATGAGTGTTTTTCTAGTCACTTCTAATGCTGTTTATAGTGCAGAGTGGAAATGCCTTGGAATGAACAGATTGTGCACAACACATGTTGTAATAACCGTGTTTTATGGCCACTTGAAATTGTTCTCATTAAAGATAAAACAAGACTTATTAGATCAGTCAATGCCTCCCTGAGCTTTCCGAGAAAACCAGAAATGATGGTACATTGATACTTTAAAGATCACTTTTTCTCTGTGATGAAATAGCAAATTTAGCAGCAAATGTCTGTGTTGGAAATCTCAAGTTGCTGAGAAGGTTTTTCTGAAGATTATAGAGAAGATTTGCTCATTTGGCCATCAGCACTTGGAATCCTCTGAACTCGTATTAAAGCCAGTCTACAGTGTCTCGAGGAATCTCTTTGTTCCTCAAAAGTCTTTGCTCTGATAAGAAGGCTGGTTTGTGATATCACATTGCTTGGCTTTTGGATTTAAGTAAAGGCAACGTGGCTTTTTAAACTTGCAAAGGTTTTACAAAGTTATTTTAATTGTTCCAAGTCTTGAAAGTATAAAGGGTAGAACTCAATTTTTGATAAAAATTAAAGCTGTCTGGCTGAAATATTTTCTTTGTGTTAGTGTTTTTGTATCAGTTTTATTCATAAATATGCAAATACTCATAAAACATTGTATTTTTTATCATCATGCTGTATAATTTAAAATCAATTATTAGTGCAATATGCTATTCAGAGTATTGAGAGTTATATGCCTTTTCATTTGATTCAGAACATCCCTGTGACCTGTCATTTCATTTAGCTGAGTCTCTGGCTTGCTAAAGTGGCATAACATCTCTGTGCCTTAGCTTTCCATCTCGGAAATCAAGGTGTTGGATAAGGTCATTTATTTCTACATCTAGAATTTGTTGTACCTTGCAGAAACTCTGAATTTAGAACTCACTGGCCTGGAAGAGACAGTGGGGGACTGTGGGTACAATTAAAAACTATTGGAAAGGCCTTGTAACTTCTTGGACGGGTAAACCAAGGGCCAAATCACAGAGAAATGCCACATGATTTGCCTTAAATTTGGAGACCAAATGTTGAAGTGTTAGAAGCAGTGTCAAGTGTGGGTGGATGCCAAAGGCTGGACTGCTGTGGGGAGAGCAGGGGTATAGGTGACAGGAGGACGATGGGTTAGGCACTCAGCAAGGGACACAAGATGTCATTTAGGAGGGATAAGGTCAAGAGAAGTAAAACTCCTAATAGCATATGGAAAGTTGTCAGGAAGTCCACTTCAAGTGTTCTCACCATAGAAACAACAAGATGTTTTTCAGGTAATACCTACATTTATTAGCTGTATTTAGCCATTCCATAATATATATATATATATATATATATACATATATATATATATATATATATACATATATATATAGTAAATCATCATGATTTGCATCATAAAAATATACAGTATTCATTTATGCATTAGAAAATATTAAAGAAAACATTAAACAGAAGCCTAAAAAAATCAGTTGTATATCTGCATGCTGGCAGTGAAAAATCTGAAAAATGGAAACAAGGAAAGAATTCCACTAACATTATAGTAAAAAGGATGGAGCACTATTCACCAAGAATGTTTAGTACTGTACATTCAACTTTTGCTGAAAGGAACTGAAGAAACCTATAATACATAAGCAATCATATAAATATGACAAGGGACAAATATAACACCCTTTAATATGTTGCAGAGTATACAGAAGAAGTGATTTTCATGACCTGATCAACAATTATTATTATTACTATTTGTGGAAAGAAACAATACACTTTAGCCAAGGTATTATGTTACATTTTAGTTTTGCAAGACATTGCTGTTGTTTTTATTGTTTGTTTGTTTTTTCTTGTTTGTTTGTTTTACATTTGAGCATAATACAGCATCTCCTGTCAAAGCAGATACTAGCTTGGATAGTGGTGGGACCATTATACTTTCTCCCTTTTAAATTCTCATTGCCTTGGTTTAAGAATGCTAACCAAATGTCTCTTGAAATATAACAGATTTATGAAATCTTCCTTGTCTTTGTTCACACATTTGAGAATAGCTCATTCACTTACATTACACATGCCAATTATGTGAACAAAGACCAATGCCATTTTTTACCTGTAATGGATATGGTATATTTGGAAACCAACCAACCAGTTTTATCCATGTTGCTTGTGAGAGTGTCACATACACCTAGTAGTTTTGGTTACAGCACATGGACCCTACTGTTTCTTTGTTCCTTTGTTGAATGTTGGTATGTACATTCCAACAATGACACATCCATCACACAGAATCTCTAGCCATTTTACAATGTGAATTTTAGAAGTTTGTGTTGAAACTGTAGTCATAGACCCTCTTCATTTTTTTTTCATCATTGTTGGTTTCAGAAAACACTCATGGTATCTACACCTCGGAGTTTCATATTTCCAAAGTGTACCAGCATGTGATAACCACTGAGGAAACAACACACTGTGGTTGTAGACTCTTTACCTCTTGAAGCCCACAAGTCTATAGCTTGTAAACAAATAACCACAAGGAACAACATAGTGGAGTTTGTCAGGCAACAGTGCAATCTACTGTACTGCACTATGCAGTGTATTTTGTCCCAGTGTCCTGTTTGTTCGTTATTTTAGAACATTGATCATTTGAAATTCAGTGCATTTCCTTAAGTGACATAATAATCCTGGAAAATATTTTATATATCAGTTATGTACATGATTGATTGTTCAGTTGAACATTTAGTGAAAGTAACTTTGCAATAATGTTTATGCTATTTTTCACAATGAATTTAAAAGTATTTTCAAATGCTCTAATCATTCACCTATCAATTTTTTAAATTTTAGCAATGTAACTCAAAACAACTAGCATTTATTTCAAAGTTACCACAAATGATATATTTATTGCTCAATTTAAGTTGATGTCAGTGTACTATATAAGATGATATGACGTAAGAAGTTAAAGACGGTGAATCATTTTTCTCGAAACTTTGTTTTTATTACACATTATACAAACTTTCATATTTTTCATAGATTACGGATAGATACCTATTTCTTTTATTTTTGTTGATGTATTTTATAATTCTGAGTGGTTATTAATTAATATTGTTAGCTTATGTACTACATAGGATCTAAATGAAGTCTTGGGATGTGTCTGGTAAAGGTTTGGCTGAGTTTTGTTTTTAAGAAAAAGTGAAAAACAAAGCTCCTTTGGAAAATAGCAGTCAGCTGAATAAAATGGCCAATTTTTTGATATTTTATTGGACCATAATCACACTTAAAGAACCTTTTAAAAACAAAAAAGAAAACAAATGTTTTAAAAGTGCCTATAAGTTGAAAATGTGAAATATCTTTCAAAGAAAAATAAAATTGATTTTTTTTTCAGTCGATTTAACACAAATAACTGAAAGAGTGTGCATTCATGCAGCTAACTCAATTTTGGTTTTCCTTTTTTTGTTTATTCAGAAACCAGAAATGAAAGATGAACTTTCTTGCCTTTTAAAGCGTATTCAAACAGTCGGTCAGTTTAGAGTGCCTTCCTCTAGCAGAAGTACATACTATTTTACCACTTAA